CCGGACCGGGGACCGGCAACGGGATCGCAACCCTCGGTGTTGCTCCCGCACCTCGCTCAGCCAGTGAGCGGGAACTGGTCTGTATGTGGGATCTGAACCCTCGGGCGGGAGCGCCGCCGCGCTTCCCAAGCAGCGCACTATCCAGTGCGCCACCAGGCCGGCCCCGATATTAACTTTTTCAAAGAATAAAGTTCTTGACTTCCTGATTTGGAAAATAAGAAGCATTACTGATAACTTGTATTACATATGGAAAGAATGTCTTTTTGGGTAGTAATTTTCCACTGGTGCCGTTAGAAAACATTTAGATGGAAATTCATTCAAATTCAAACTTATTTTCAAAGAGTTAAATTAAGTTTGTAGGATTTCTATAATGTTAATATGTTAGTAACATGTTTTTCAGTTTTGAACAAGAAATGTTGACTTATTTATTTAATATTGTAACTTGGAGACAGATATGAAAATAAAGGTGCTGGCTTTGGATTTTTTTGTGTGTACATTACTGAATAATAAATAGCAATAATAAGAGAAACATTTTCAGGTGTCCTCATTAAAGAAGAATGTGGGTCAGTTCAGTGGCTTTCCATTTGAAGAAGGAAGTGTCCAATATAAAAAGAAGGAAGAAATGTTGAAAAAGTAAGTTACTTTTAGAAATAATCATGTTTTGATCAACGTGCTTTAAGTTTATTTTTTAACATTTAAAAATGATTACCATTCATTTTCAGTAGATTGCTAATTCTTTTCTTTAAATGCCAGGATTTGACTTGTCTTTATATATTAACTTGGGATGTCCATTACTTTCCAATAGATAGTGACTATCAAGATTATTGAAAACTCTTAAGGAAATTTTTATTTTATAGAATGATATACACAGGTTAATCATTCACAGAGTCCAAAATTCAAAAGGTCTAAAAGGAATACAGTGAAAATCTTTCCTCTTCCTGTCCCATCAGGCACCCTGTCCCCCTTTAAACCATTCAAACTATTTTGAAGTTAATTCAATAGAAACAGTGTCCTTCATATTGCAAGCAAAGTGATATATTCTTAGAGGTTTTGTTTATTAAATGCCTCATAGTTTGAGAACTCAAAAAATAAAGATGATTACCCATTACTCCATTGAAACATTGTCATAGTAGGATTGCTGAGGGAAAAATGTAGTATTTCATCATCAAGTCTGTGAGTTTTATAATGTTGAACACTTTTTACATAATTTTCTAGTGAATTTGCTTAAAGTTAGTTTATTCTTGTACTGCCTTTAAAACTTAATTGGTAAATGATGTTTTCAGTTTATTAATAATCATATCTGTCTGTACACTAGTCACGGTTATTAAGAATAAGATTCAGAGAAACATTGGGTAAAGCTTTGAGGGGTCTGGCTGGTAAGTGGATCGAAACCCTAGACCTTGGTTTTATAACACGATGCTCTAACCAACTGAGTGAATTGGCCAGCCCTGCCTTTCTTTAAATCTGTGTAACTGAGCCAGTTTGGTTGGCTGTTTCTTTTCTATTGTGAAGAATGTTTATAAACTTTCCTGTTTAATCAGCTAGATTTTTTCCATTTTCTCTTTCAGATTTAGAAATGCCATGTTAAAGAGCATCTGCGAGGTTCTTGATTTGGAGAGATCAGGTGTAAATAGTGAACTAGTGAAGAGGATTTTGAATTTCTTAATGCATCCAAAGCCTTCTGGCAAAGTGAGGATCAGCTTTTACTATTTTAATAACAAATCAGTCCTTTATAGCCTCTCCGTTCTATGAAACAATAATTGGTTAATAGCAGCATTGCTGTCAACGTTTAGTAATATCATCTACATTCAAATAATAGGCCTTCCACTGACATATCTGCGACAATTTCATGATAGAAATAATATAGAAGGCTTAAGAGATATGTTTTCTCATATCAGATATAATAGGTGATAAGACTAAGAAAAGTAATTAAGTTAATGTCAGATCAGACAAAAAATACAAAGTAAATATCCATGGTTATGTATTTAGAAGGCACTGGAAGAAGAGACAGGTTGAGTTGAAGAAGAGGTGTTGGGCTGGGGGGTGGTTGGTGCAGCTTGTAATCATATCAGGAAAGACAAGATGGGGGATATATTAGAATGGATGTTTTCTAGATCCTATAATAAGGTTATGAAACAGTGACATAAAAAGCCAACTTTCCAAGTTTCCTAGTTAGGTTTCCAGAATCCTCAGCTGGAAAGGAAGTAAAGTGGCTTTATGGTTTTTCCACTCTTCCAGAAATATAGATTGGGTTTGTTCTATTTAATGGTAACAAATGACATCAGTGACTTAAAATGTCTGTTGAAGTATTACGACCTTGCATTTTAAATTTTTGCATTTTCAATTTAGGTTTGTCAGCAAACGTTTTTGGACTCTTCCTCATTTGGGTAGGAAAGGAAGTGTGAAGAGATTTAGCAGGCCTAGGAGTTCAGGGGAATGCCATCTAGAGAGGGGAGAGGGCATAAAAAATTGAAAGCAGAAAATAGCTCTGAGACTTTGTTTTTGCCTGCCCTTGGTCCTGATCACATTAGATGGACAAGGACAGATAAAGGATATTCAAGGTGTTACTTTTGTTGCACAGCTAAACACCCAAGGGGAATGATGGTGTTTATTTAAAGATGAGATTATATTTTCTAACTTTTACTATGGCAATACTTGTACTTACCTTTTTAGGATTTCATAATGCAAGTTGGTCACTATTTCCTCAGAAGCTATTACTCGGTTGCCTAAGTTGTGAGGGATATGTTTATGTTCATCTTTTTCTCAGTGATTTCAAGTTTATTGGTTTCAGGACACCATCCTTCTCTTTAAAAAATTAATTAATGAGGACCCCAAGAGCTTTTGTTTACTATTTTTGAAATTAAAAACATTTTTATTTTAAAATAACATGTTAACAATAGTAATATTTTGTGTGAAGAATAATTATATTGTATTCTGCTGTGTTATATAAGGGATTTGAGCATGTGAGGATTTTGGTATCCTGGGAGTGAGGGGGTCCTGGGACCAATCCCCTGGGGTACTTACAAAAGAATTAGTAGAGTGGTATTATTTTATGTTTTTTCACATGTTTTATGTCTGGCTTAAGAGGAAAACAGCTCAATTCTCATTTGCTTCTGCATTTGTTCTGTCGCAATGTATTATTTTTCTTGAAGTATATGAAGAAAATCCAGCCTGACACAGGTATATAGTGAGAAAAAGAAGTATTTTAAAAATCCTTTCAGGTAATTGCAGGTACTTTCCTTTAATACAACACTAAAACTCCACAATTGGTAATTTCTTAAAGGCTATTTATAATGTTTAATGTAGATCTGAAACCATTTGAATGAACTTGGACCTTTCATCATACATGTAGCATTTGAAAAGTATTGATTCACTGAATTATGCAGATCTTCCAAATGTTGACACGTTTTACTGAACACTGTCAAAAAGTCATATTAGTTAATATAAACACCATTTCATCAGAAAAATCTTTAGATATTGGGAAACTCAAGTTCATGGTAGTAGGCGTAATTATCCAAAGTTCTAATTTCCACTTGAAATTATGGCATTTATTGCTGACAATAAATATTATCAGTTGTTTTCCTTTAAGTGATGGGCTCATGTTGTTCATTTTAAAATTTTTTTGGGTTTTGGCAGCTGGCCAGGAGAGGGATCCAAACCATTGACTTTGGTGTTACAAGGCAGCATTCTGACCAACTAAGCTAATTGGCCAGCCCCTTGCTCATTTTTTAGGACATGTCTGTTCGTACCTAAATCAGAATAGCCATGTTTGTCAGGTTTTTTTAAATGGTATTTCATTAAAAAAAAAAAAAAAAAAGTAGCTATGTTAGTTCACAGTTCAGTCAATTGCACAGACTCCTCCTTGAGAAAAACCACTGAACTTCAATATATAGCCAGAGTACTTTGTGTGTGTCTCCCATTTTGTCATAGATAATTGTAAAGACTTTTACTCAATTGAGAGTTAATACAACTTATATTTATTGCTTGATCAGTGACATTCTTAAGTGAAACTTTTTTTGTTGTTAGTGCTGGTGTGTTGTGAGGAATACAAGAACTACTAGTACATTTTGTTGCCTTGATTAGTATTAAGGTTCCAGTTTTACCCACCTTTGCTCTTGCCCAATTTTTACAAATGTCAACAGTGAAAAAAGCAAATAAGTAATATGTTGGTATTATTATGAGAGTAGTTTGACCATGTGGACTCCTGAAAAGATCTCAGGAAATTCCACAGTCCATGAACCACACTTTGAAAATCAGCTTTATACTTCCCGTAGGATCTAACTCTTACATTAGGTTTTCGTATGTGACCTTGTTATGATTACTCCTTAATCTGCTAGTGTCAAACTCAAGCTCTTTTCTTTGCTATCATAAGTTTTCATTTAAGAAAAATGCTGTAAACTCATTACTACTTTTTCTTCTCTGTAATAATTTGTAAATTGTTAAATGAACATAACATTCATCACTGATCATTTTCCTATCCTTGTATTATACTTCTGCCTTGATTATTTTGTTAACCAGATTTTGTTTCCAAAAAGAGATAATGCTGTTGACATTGGATTCTGATTAATTATAGATTTTTAGAACCAGTGTAGGCAAATACTAAAGCATTTTTTTTTATTTATTTATTTATTTATTTATTTATTGGTCCTTTTGAGGCCTGCCGCACCGCGCTCAGCCAGTGAGCGCTGTGAGCACACCGGTCATCCCTATATAGGAACCGAACCTGCGGCAGGAGCGCTACTGCGCTCCCAGCGCCGCACTCTCCCAAGTGTGCCATGGGCTTGGCCCCAAATACTAAAGCATTTATATGTTATTACTTTTTGTTTTTAAAGCTTCTCATCTGTTTTGGGGAGTTGTATTTTCTTGAGTGGTTACTTGAATAGTTTAACGTCCTTTCACTTTTCCGTATAGATTTATCTAGTGCCTATTCCAGTTTCCATATTACTAATTTTATATAGAGATTATATCCTCATTACCTGCATCTGGTTCCTGAGCTGTGATAGTAAGGGATATCTCATTTAATACATTGGAAACCTCTAGTTCATATAGCCCTGTAGTGAGAGTTTGGACTGTGAAAGTCACCTTTCTTCCAAACAGTGCTATCAAAGAATTTATCCAAATGTATTATTAGGGTCCTGGTAATAGCTGGTAATGGTAATCACATACAAAGGATATCGCTATACATTCAAAGAAGTTTACTCTGGAGAATCCCCTCTGAAAATTGTCCTTGATTGGTCCACTAAAAGTTTCTGGAGTGACCTCAAATTGGCTGTTCAGCAGTCTGCCTTTAGAAGGGTAGGTTGAGCGAGCTGGAGGCTACCCTGTAATTTATAGATAGCCTGATAATACTATTACACAAAGCAGCCACTTTTTCTTAATTTTTGTGTAGGTGGCAGTGACTGTTAGAAGATTGGAAGTTATGGGCCGGCCCGGTGGCGCACTGCTACAGTGCGCCGCTTGGGAAGCGCGGCGGCGCTCCCGCCAAGGGTTCAGATCCCACATACAGACGAGCCGCTCACTAGCTGAGCGAGGTGCGGGAGCAACACCGAGGGTTGCGATCCCGTAGCCGGTCCCGGTCTGGTACGAGCGCGACACTGAGGGTTGCAATCCGTTGCCGGTCACGAAAAAAGACAAAAAGGAAAAAAAAGAAGATTGGAAGTTACTAGGAGAGAAAGAACCTGTTGTTCTGCTACTTACATGAAAGATATTGCAAAAGTTACCACAGCATTTATATAATTGAATATCTTAGTATGTCATGAAAGTTTACCTTAATGTTTTCTGCTTATTGCAGGAAATAAAAAAACAGGCAAAAATAAAAGAATGTAAAAGATATTCATAATCTCAAATAAATAATATTAATTTCTTAGTGTATATATTTTAAAATCCTTAATGTAAGGTTATTTAAACAGTTTTCAATTTCAGAATTTAGCAAATACTCCTCTAAGAAAGCATTTAAAAATTAAAGTTGGTTAATGCAGTCAAATCATTTTCTTCTCATGATCTACTCTGCTTTTGAAATATGTATGGTTTAATTGAGCATCAGTAATAATAATGTACTTGTTTTGTAATTCTTAATTAGTTTATAATTAACATACCCAACATTTATTGCATATTTAGAAGCATCATTGAGAATATGGTCCTGACATTAAAAGTAAGACGTAATATGAATACAAACTGTATAGTTCATTTGCAAATTCAGGATGTGTGGTGATCAGGTTTTATTTTCTTTATGGATGATTCCTCCCATTCCTTAGATTGGTGCACCTTCTAAAGCAAGGAGCTCCTCTGGCAGTAATGGGGTTTTTTTTTTGGTTTTGGCAGCTGGCTGATGTGGGGATCTGAACCCTTGACCTTGGTGCTATAACACTGTGCTCTAACCAGCTGAGCTTACTGGCCAGCCCTTGGTAGTGATAGTTTTAAGACTTATGGGAATGAAATATAAATTACAAGTTTAACTTAAAATATTTTCTTGATAAAGTGTAAACAGCTGTCTGAGCTTAACTTAAAGATGAATTCTCTATAAAGCTGCTAAGTTTGTAAATATAATTTCTTGAAAGAGGAACAAGAAGTTGAGTTGAGATATAGTTACTAAAAACTGAGTTGATTGACTTAAAAATATAATACTTCATTGGTGTTATCTTTATAAATTTTTTTAACGTAGCCATTGCCAAAATCTAAAAAGACTTCTAGCAAAGGTGGTAAAAAGGAACGGAACAGCTCTGGAATGGCGAGGAAGGCTAAGCGAACCAAGTGTCCTGAAATTCTATCAGATGAATCTAGTAGTGATGAAGATGAAAAGAAAAACAAGGAAGAGTCTTCAGATGAAGATAAAGAAAGTGAAGAGGAGGTAAAATGTTTCATTCTATTTCTTTAACAATTTCTTTCCATGGGGAGAGTTAAGTATTATATGTAACAGGTACAGCCAGAAAACAGAGTTCACTGTTTTTGATTCTGAAGGCACAGAAGTACTTAAGTATGAGGGTACTTCAAAAAGTTTGTGGGGAAATGGAATTAAAAGATAATGCGAAACTTTCCATGAACTGTTTGAAGTTCCTTCATATAAATCCATTTCTTTCCCTTAAGGAGCTTTTAGTTTCATTGTCATGCCAGAGCATAAGAGTGGAAAAGAGTGGGGTTGGTGTGGACTAGATTTGAAGTGGGCCTTGAGCTGGACCTTGAAGACTGGGTAAATTGGAAGGGAAAGGAAACAGAAGTGTGCATATCCTGAAGACGAACACATAGGAGTATGTTCTTTGAGAACTTTTTAATAGTATATTAATATTTTATAATTTACTTGAATCATTTTATTCTGGTTTATGCAAAAAGCAAGGGTTTTAAGGAAGATTTTTTTTTTACCCTTTGGGGATTATTGAGAATAACCGCATTGAAGTTTATTTGATCAGTGGGTAAGTTTTGTATCACTTTGGAATGTCTGCCACTTTATTTGGGAGTATTTGTAAAACATTGAGAGTACTTAGCTTCCAGAATGAAACTTCAGGAAGAGGAGAACTGCTGAAGCGATTAAAAGGGTTAACTTTACCCTCTCTTTGATGTATATCTTCAATCAAGTAGACCAGGGAGAGCAGAGATGAGTTCCTATTATTGTTAATGGTGTTTTGGTAGACTGTATTAACTTGGTTTTGGTGTCTCCTTCAGAGGTCAGAACTTTTTCTTTAAATTGGGTAAATTCACTTGTCTTATTTAGGGACTTGATTAATGCCAGCTTGATATTGTGGGCCAGATAATTCTTTGTTGTGGGGGGCACCCCGCATCCCTCAGCACTGGCAATCAAAAGTGTCTCCAAACATTGCCAGTTGTGGGGCGTAAGGGGAGTACATCTCCATTTGAGCACCACTGAATTAGAGGTAATAAAGATGTTGTGAGCTCTGGTTTCACATAGTGTGTGTTTAGTGTGTATATTTGTCTTGAGGTATTTAAAATTTATGCTTGTTTTAATGTCAGATTTTATAACGGGTATCAAAATTTAGAGTAATGGCTGCTGTTTTAACTGCTGACCCCATAGTCTGGAATAATAATGATCCAGTATGGGTAGAACAGTGGCCTTTAACTTCTGAAAAATTGTCAGCAGCTCAAATGTTAGTTTAAGAACAGTTGTCCTTGGGTCATATTGAACCTTCTAATAGCCCTTGGAATACTCCTATATTTGTTATTAAAAAGAAATCGGGCAAATGGAGATTATTACAAGATTTAAAGAAAATTAATGTCACCATGGAAGATATGGGAGCTTTACAGCCTGGTCTCCCATCTCCTGTAGCAATTCCTAAAAATTATTCGATCATAGTGGTAGATTTACAAGATTGCTCTTTTACAATTCCCCTGCCTCCTCAGGATAGGATAAGATTTGCATTCCGTATTCCTTCTACTAATCTTCAAAGACCATATGTCAGATATCAATGGAAAGTCCTTCCTCAGGGAATGAAAAATAGTCCTACTTTATGTCAAAAGTTTGTAGATTCAGCTATATTGCCTGTGAGAAGAGATTTTCCTGATATGTGCATTATTCATTATATGGATGACATACTTTTAGCTCATACAGAGATACTGATCCTACAACAGGCTTTATTACAATTGACAGAAACTTTACAACCTTAAAATAGCTCCTGATAAAATTCAGCATTCTCCTCCTTTTAATTATTTGGGGCGAATGATTCAAACTCATTATGTTGCCCCACAAAAATTACATATTCGGCTTGATTAGTTATCAACATTAAATGATTTTCAAAAACTTTTAGAAGATATTAATTGAATCAGGCCTTATTTAAAGGTTACTACTACAGAGTTAAAACCTTTGTTTGATCTTTTACAGGGAGATAGAGATCCTACATCTCCCAGACACTTGACTGCTGAAGCCCAGAAAGCCTTAACCTTAGTTCAAGACAGGCTGTCTTCAGCTCAGTTATTAAGGATGGATTATGCCCAGCCTTTACAGCTGTTTATTATAGCAACAGAATATTCCCCCACAGGAGTTTTTTGGCAAACAGCTCCAATAGAGTGGTTGCACCTGCCTGTGGCTGACAAAAGAATACTAACAACATACTCAGTCTTGGTTGCCACCTTGCTATTAAAGGGAAGACAAAGAGCTAGAGAGCTTTTTGGAAAAGAACCTGACATTATTGTCACACCTTATAATAGCAATCAAATAGATCAACTTTTACAGAAGGATCATGAGTGGCAGGTAGCATTAAGTGGTTATGTAGGTCAAATATATCACCTACCTTCACATCCTTTATTAAATTTTGTAAAAGTACACCCTATAATTTTTACACAGAAATGTTCATCGCAACCTTTGCCCACACCTGCTAAGTTGGTTTTTTCCAACGGGTCATCTAATGGAAAGGCGGCTCTAATTATAAATGACACCTCCATATCTTTCCAGACTAAGGAAAGTTCAGCTCAAAAGCTGGAACTTTTAGCAGTCATAGAGGTGTTTAAAAGGCTACCTAATGATGCTTTTAACCTTTACACTGATTCAATGTATATTGTTAAATTATTTCCACACATTGAAACTGTTCCATTTCCTATGAGTAAAAGTGATATTCAGAATTATTTAATACAATTGCAAAAACTTATACATTCAAGAACAAAAGCCTTTTTTATAGGACACATTCGGACATACAACAATTTATGAGGAAACTTATGTGCTGGAAATAAAATGGCTGATTTATTAACAAAAAAATATTATTGTTTCTTCAGTACAATTGGCTATTGATAGTCATGCTTTACATCATCAAAATTCCAGTGCTTTGCGAAAATAGTTTGGTTTAACTAGAGAAACAGCACGTCAGGTAGTTAAAAATTGTACTTTGTGCCCTACGCAACACCCATCTTTGCCATTGGGAGTAAACCACCGAGGATTAAAACCTAACGCCTTGTGGCAAATGGATGTGACTCATTTCCCTTCTTTTGGGAAATTAGCTTATATACATTCTTGTGTGGATACATTTTCACATTGTAAATGGGCAACTGCCCAAACAGGTGAGGCTGTTAAGGATGTTATTCATCTCTTTTCCTGTTTTGCAGTCTTAGGTATGCCTCAGTCTATAAAAACTGATAATGCTCCTGCTTATACTTCCAAGAGTTTTGTACAAAGTTAAACATTAAACACATAACAGGAATCCCTTACAACCCATAAGGTCAAGCAATTATTGAACGTTCCCATCAGAACTTTAAAAGCCAATTATATAAATTACAAAATTCTGAATACAGGTATTCTTCCCCACATCACACCCTGTCACATTGCCTCTTTGTTCTCAACCATATAAATGTTGATGCTCAAGATTCTTCTGCCTTTCAGCGCCATTTTTCATCTCTAGTAACACCTTTGCCCACGGTCCTCTGGAGGAAGGGACCTGATGTTTTACTAACCAGTGGTCGTGGCTATGCTTGTGTTTTTCCCCAAGATGTTTCTTCTCCAATTTGGATTCCAGATAGACTCATCAGACACCATGGCCCAACCTTACCTGCCACCTAGGACCTCCAGATGGCCCCACCTGAGGGAACGGGGCAGCCGCCCACTTCCACCAACCAACCACCAGCTCTCTAAAATGTTGTTGGACATGAGTCTCAACAAAAACCACCGTCGTGCTCAAACCACAGAAACTTCCCCATTACCAACTTGGGGTCAGATAAAGTCTTTAACTTCTTCTGCTCTTGCTTTACTTGAGTCCCAGTGCACTCCGGCAACTCCTGAGACTCTTTTCTTGGCTGTCATTACTTTGCTCACTTTACAGTCCTCATCAGATACCTCGGATCCACGATAAAGATAACACAACAAGAACTCCTCGCTCTCAAATTACAAAATAAAAAAGGGGGAGATGGCATGGTCCACGCCATGGCAGGACCCTAAAGGAATCAGCTTGGGCTGCCCTCTCTGAGTTGGCAAGGCCGCCGGAGGGAGAGCTAACACAAATGATTTTGCGGTCAATGAACTAAACATTCCCACAGAGGATCCAGGTAAATTGGATAATTCTAAATTATCCCTTTATGACAAATTGATCACACCAACGTATGCCTCAAAAGCACCTCTCATGACTAAACATGAGCTACAGCCCATATAGGCAAAATTACTTCAAAAAAGAAATCCCCATCCTCTCCCTACCATCCTTGTGAACGGTTATATGGGATACAAAATAGGGAAAGGAAAAATTTGGTATCCCCCTAGGGGACGTCCAAAATATGATATAAGTTGACAAACATCATTTACTGGAGATTGTATTAATGGCAAGAGAATGGTTGGCATTAATGAGAAATTATATGATTGGGACAAATTAGGTATATGGGAATGAAACCATAGAACTCCCTTTACTTGGTGGTGTCCAGTTTTAATAAATCATTAAAAATCAGGTATTGGGATAAAAATATATGCTGTAAAATTATTAGACATGGGAATGAAACCATAGAACTCCCTTTACTTGGTGGTGTCCAGTTTTAATAAATCATTAAAAATCAGGTATTGGGATAAAAATATATGCTGTAAAATTATTAAACCTGCAAAATTAGATCTTAGAAGAATAAGAGAGTGCACCTGGTTTTGTGAGGGATGGTGCTGTGCACAAGGACACTAACATTTAGATCAAGATTACACAGCCACAGCCAATGCTTAACCTCAAAATGTGCATGATAATGCTGCTCAAATATCCATTGTTCCTTTTCCATATGAACAATAGGCTCATTCCATTAAAACAAAATCGTTAGACTCCCATTAGAATTTAAACGTTAGCATTGTTCCTTTTAGAAAATTTGTACTTACATTTAACAATAGACATAGGTCATATGATAGTATTGTCTATCACTTTGTAACCGCAATAACTGCAACCCTGTTAATAG